GAAAACACACGCACGAGAAAACAGGCCGTTGGTATTCGTAGCAGCTGAAAATCCTGAGAGCTCCGGGGGGCACCAAAGCCAGTGCTCCTGGGCAACCCTTCGTTCCAAGCAAGAGGCAGGCGACCACCCATCAGTAAGGATATTTTAGCGAGGGGCTCTTCTGTGCCAAGAGCCTTTGGAGCCCTCACGGCTATCGCCGTTTGCGTTGGTGTGCGCGGCCCACTTAAAACGTTAAACTTTGCTCCAGAACCGCCGGGAAAGGTGGGCAGCCAAGGGCATTCTGGTGCCCAGGAAGTTGCCCACTCCCGTTTGCCATTGGTACTACTCCGCGACAACCCTTATTTCCAGCCGGAGGAATTTTCTAGGGCTTCTTCGGACGGAGCGGGTCGGTCTCCCCTATCGCATCCCCACTGAGCGGACTGACGGAGGGGTGTTGCGGGAAAGACCTTGCCCCAAATCGGAGCAGTCCTGCCGGCGGCTGCCGTTGAAACAACAGGTGGAGCTGATGGCCCAAAACGAAGCCCCGGAGGGGGATTCTACCGTCGCCACCGCAGCCTCTCACCCACCTGCGTCCTCCTCCTCCTCCTCCTCCTCGTCGCCCGCTGCGCAAGGTCGCGGGGCGGCCCAGAGCAGCAGCAGCAGCAGCAGCAGCAGCGGCGGCGGCGGCGGCGGCGAGGAGAACCGGAACCTCAGCCTCTTCGCGGGACGCATCTTCGTTTGCGCTCGAGGTCGAGTCTTCAGCCAGCCACGCCGGGAATCCGTCGCAGTGGAGCGTCTCCCGGAGATCGAAGGGACGCGCTTGCCGCCTTTTATAGCGGGGAGTTGTGCCGCGCCGCCCCGTCTTAGCCTGCGGAGGGAAGTGCTAGAGCTCCGCGGGAAGAAGATGCCCCCTTTCGGCTCTGGCCGAGGCCTCACGCATCTCCGCTCACTCTCGCTTGTGGCTGCAGCGGGTCTTCCAGCCACACTTTGCGGAGTATTTGTGGCCACAGAGATCCTCCTCCGCCCCACCGGAGCAGGGTTGTGTCCGTCCTCACATCTGCAGGCTGGTTCTCCCCCGTTCCCTTTTCCTGCACTACGCGTCCTCGTGGACTTGAGCAGGTGCCGGTGTCCTCCTCCAGAGCCCGATTTGGGCCGGGCAATTATCGCGGCTGGGGGCTTTCGAAAGAGAAGCAAAGTTACCCGATCCAATTTGGGAGACACCCGAGAAGGATGCTCTCCAGTTCAGCAACCTAATCCCAAACGTGGCGGGACTTCTTGGGTGATCAGCCTAGGCACGGGGCAGGGGGACCGTGCAAGCCTCCCGCGCCCGGAGGCTTTTCTCTGAGTCCCGCCATTTTCTCTAGGCAGAACCGGCCTTATTATATGCCTGGAGCGGCATTGCTGGAGGGCTGAAAGGTGTCTCGAAGCTGCACCAAGACTGCCCAGTCCCTTAGATGCGGGCGCTGGAACCTGCTTCTGGGGCAGAGAGCCTTGAGAGGAACCCAGCTCCCGCCCTCCCAGCCCCCCAGAGCGCTCTCCGCCACCCACCGACCCTGGAGGAAGGGGCGAGGCATTGGAGCAGCCAAGCCTTTGAAGGCAAGAAGGAACTTGTGCGGGACTTTGAAGCTGTTAGTCTCGGGGCAAAGAACTTCCTTTCGCCGCGGCGGGACGCCTGTTGCTTTCTGGGATTCGAGGAGCTAACTGCAGGGTGGACCTGGGACCTTCAACAAGACAGCCAAGGCTCGCAGTCCTCAGATCGACCCTGATCCCGGTTGCGTTGATCTTAGTAGGAATACTCAAGCTCAGAAACGAGCTTGGCCCAAAATCTACCGGAAGTGAGCAATTCCCAGCGCCTTCTTCCCGCGTCACGGACACACCAGGCAGTTCGCATTCTCCTTCCTTAAGAGTCCACGCCAACATCCTGGGTGAACCTCTTTGTAAATGGCAGCGCTACTCTTGAGGCCGGATTGGGTCCCAGATGCAGCACCAGCACCAGCAGCCCTTTCACCCACCCTTGACTGGATGCTCCACTGGGTCACTGCAGCCGGGGTACAACCGTTTCGTGGCAGTTTATAATTTTATAATTTTAACTCCCACCCCCACGCCTCCAGAAGAAGAAAGAGCAACCCTCCAGGCTGCCGTCTACGATATTGTCGATTCAACATAATTTATAAAATGTAGTCCCCGTTATGGTCGGGACAAAATTTAAATCCACGGCCGCGACATAAATTAATTCTTCTGATACCAGGAACTTATCTGAGAGCTTTAAAACCTCCGATGAGTGCCGCCCCAAACAGCGAGATGGGCGGTATATAAATAATGAACGAATGAAAAATAAAAGATTAATTGTGCATTGTCCGAATAACCGAACCACTCCTGGATAGTATCAAGGTTGGGCGGGCGAGACTATAGAAAAGCCCCGCGCCGTGCCTTTTGCGCGCCTCTCCTAAGTTACAGGACCAGTCCCTGGACACCCACTCACCCCCCGCCGCACCTCCAAGCGGGCAACCTTTCCCCGCGGAGGCGTGGCTTCGATCACCGGCCCTTGCCCCACTCTCGCAAGATCCTGTCAGCAAGGAGCTGAAAGGCACTGAGAGACGAGCGACTTTCTTCTTGCACGCAGCTGTCCGGCCCGCAGTTTCCCGAGCTAGAGGGGCTGCCGCTCGGTTCTCGTCGAGCCTGGCGCTTAGACCGCGCTAGGCTTGGGACTGGCCGGTCTGTTCAGCGTGGCCGTGTCGCGCCTTCCCACGACCGCTGCTGTTGGTGAAGCCTGGAATAACTTCGCCCTGCCGGCTGCCGGCTCCGCCAAGCAGCCCCGGCGCCAGCCTCCCCCCACCCTTCGGGGAGGAGGGCGGCATGACTCCCGGGGAGGGCAAGAGTTATGCTCCCACCCTGACGCCTTTTGGGGCGAGTCTCTTTCTATGCTGGAACGCAGACCGGGCAGGGCGCAAATTGGCCGTCCCTTCGAGCAGCGGCTCAGGGTTCAACAGACCAGGCAGCCAAAGGGGAGCAGGGAGGGCCGATAGACTCTGTCTGTCAGCCAAGAAAGCCCCTCCCCACTTCAGGGGTTGGGAACAATTTCTCGGCAAGAAGCCTTGCTCGCTGCAGCCCCCAAGGGCCGCCCCAGCAGCAGCACTTCCCTCTCCCCAAGCTCATGGGCGCTCCTCCACCGTGGTATCCCCGACTTGTGGGTCACCTGGCTCCAGACCAGCGACTGCTGTGAAAGACAGGAGGCTGCCGTGTTCCTTTCTTCCCACTGCCATCCGCTCTTCAGGTACCCCCGCCCCGCCCCAGCGAAAGGAGAAGCCTGTTGGCTTGGCAGTCAGAGAGCTGTATGGAAGCGGTACAGGTCGGCAGTTCACAAGAGGGTGAGGGAGGGCCTGGGTCTGCCTGAGGTGCAAAGAGAAGACAGTTTCCTCTTTAAGGGTTCCAATTTTGGCATTCCAGTCTCCAATTATAACGATGTCCTAAAACTCATCAAAGGCCTCTTCTTCTACATTAGGGATGATTAGAGCCTAGCCTTTCATCATCATCCTGTTAAAGGGTTCTCCACAAAGCCTAACTGATATTAACTGATACATTAATTTCATTGTATTGTTCTAGCTATAAGAGGAATCCCATTCCTTCTTTTCATGTCCTGAGTAATAAAGTCCCAGTCCGCCTCAAATCGTGTGTACACTTATATGTATATACTCCTGACTTGGCTGTAATACAATGCCTTGTTGACTTTAGGGCACAAGGAGAAGAGATGTTGCCCCAGAAACAATCAGACAAGACAGGCAGAAACCCTCCGTGACTGAACAGTCAGAAGAAAGATCTGTCCTAGTTGACCAGGTGGTTAAAAGTGGTGCTGGGAAATTTATATCTCCAGACTGGCAAGATTCTGCTATTGTTACTTTACAATAAAGTAGAATTAGCCCATCTAGTTGTGTTTCCTGTCTGGTTTACAGGAGAGAAGGTGGGGGGAGCTGCCATACACTCATTGTGCTTCACTCATTCCGCCACCCCACTCCCCACTCCCATCCTCCTCTGGTGAGGGAGCACAACAGAGTTTGTCTTAGGCCCTGGAACAAACCAAACAATCCTTAAAGAATAAAGCAATTACCAAGAGTCAGCGTGGATTTGCCAGACTTTATTGATTAGGTAATTTCCTTAGTAGATAGTGGGAATTCTGTAGACATATCTTGTTTTCCACAAAGCATTTGACAAATCGGCCTATGGTATTCTGGTTCACAAGCTTTTTGCTCCAGAAAGCTTCAGAAAGTTCTACAAGAACTTGAGCAGCACACACCATCTCTGTGGGCTACATGGCATGATAGTTGAATTGATACATGGTGAAAATATTTACAGTCCCCTCACATCCTGGACACAAATTGTTTTAACTTCTACCTATAGGGCACTGCACACCAGAACAACTAGACACAAGGACAGTTTTTCCCCGAATGCCACCACTCTGCTAAACAACTAATTCCCACAACACTGTCAAACTACTTAGTAAAACTTTATTACTATTATTCCCATCCTTCCTATTACCTATCTCTTCCCCTTTATGACTATAACCATGTTGCTTGCATCTTTACAATTTATATTGTTTTGTTTCCTAGTGTGATTTGATACTTATTAGTAACCTATGACTATCACTAAGTGTTGTATCTGATGATTCTTGATGAATGTATTTTATTTTTTCTTATGTACAGTAAGAGCATATGCACCAAACAAATTCCTTGTGTGTCCAATCACACTTGACCCATAAAGAATTCTATTCTGTTCTGTTCTATGTTGTGCCATGCCTTTGTAAAGTGGGAATGGACACTTGACCTCACTTCCCTGGGTAAGCGGCTCTCAAGGCCGGTGGAACAAGGACGTGCAAAACGGCCAACTCAAAATGAAACAAACGGAGACGCCGCGGTCTCTGAATCTTAATAAAAGCGCAAATGCTGAAATGAAAGATGCTGATCCTACGTTACAAAGCGCGCTCTAACCCCGCCCCGCCTCTTCTCCAGCCTCCCTCCCTCCCTCCCTCCCTCCGTCGTGACTCCGGAAGGGGCGGCGCTGGGTGGCCGTTTGAACGCAGGCGGGAGTCTCGGCGCCGCCGGTCGGGCAGACCCAGCTACCTTGCCGGAGAAGGGCGGCGAGGCAAGGAGGGGCTCCTTCTCCCTCCTTTGGGTTCCCGGCCGGTCGAAAGCTGAGCCCGCGACGAAACCGCCCTCCCGGGGATGAGCGCCGCCGCTACTGGCCCTCCCGGGCACAGCTGCAGCTCCTCGCCGGAGCGCCGCGGCCGAGCGGAGGAGGAGCTGCTCCGGACCGAAGGGCGATACCTGGAGCAGCTCGAAGGGGTTGCGACGGTGAGGAGGATGCGCCGGCAGGCGGCCGCCGCTCAGAGGGCGCGACGCTCCCGCGCCTCGTGCGTGTCCCTGGGCGCGCGTGGGCGTTGGCGTGGGCGCGGTCGAGCTAAATTCGAGGGGCAAGCGTGACGCGGGGAAGGCCGTGGCGGCCGCAGGCCCCTACCCTTCGCGGAAGGAGAGAAGCCGAAAGAGCGGCCCGGGTTTAAGGGGCCTGTCTCCTTTGGAGCAGCGGCCCTCGGGCTTTGGAGACTTTCCCGGCAGCTGTTAAACATGCCTCTTGGGGAGGGGGGGGGAATAGGGGACGAGTAGGATTACCCTGTCTCATAGGGGCGAGCGGTTGAACGTCACTGAGTTAATGGATACTTATTTCTAATCTTTGTTCATACTGGAAGCTGTTCAAATTCTCTGGAAATGGAATAACCTCCTAAACTACACCAATACATAACAGATGCCTTTTCCCCCAATGTATGCCCACTTCCCCTTATGTAAAGCAGCTGAAACCAGCACTTCACTGAATTCCTTGTGTGTCCAATCACACTTGGCCAATAAAGTCTTCTACTTTGTAGTCTGGCTGGTCTAGTCTATTATTATTTTAACTTTAAAATCTCCTTTGCTAAGACAGATAAACATGGCTTGGATTTTGAATTTCTTCCACAATTTCACAAAATCAGGCTTCTTTGTTTTAGATCTATTACATATTTTTATTTTCCCTTAATTTCACAGACACGCATATCTATTTGGATTTCTTGCTTCTCATTGGGTAATTCATGACCATTTACTCTTCATGTTCTGAGTTACAGCCTTCTCTCAGCTCTTACCATCGCCAATAGGGGCCCATGGATTTATCCTGTACTGCCCATTGTGGCTTTGGTCGGTTGAGGTTTCTGCTAAGTTAGCAGCCCATCTTTAGCCATGCCACATTCATCATTCCAAAGAGATTCCTGGTTAGCTTAGCACATTTTGGCTAGTAGGTCACAACATAAACAAAGCCCAGTTTTGGCTCAGACTTGGTCACATGATTTTATTTAGGACAGACTCTCTGAACTTTACTTTGAAAGAGGCATATAGTTTTTCACATCAGCGATAAGGTAGATGCACTATTTTGACTAAAAGGCAGTATTAAGGAAGCAAACTTGAGATGCCCAGTGAGCCAGATTCCTCCATGCTGCAGGAAGAGTGAAAACAAGAATGTTGTGTTCAACTTCAACTGGACAGTAATGGTCCTATGTCCCTTTTCAGTATTTTGTGGTCACCCTGAAGGCCAAGGGGATCCTGAAGCCAGACATCCATGAGATTCTCTTTGGACCCTGGGAGTCTATCTGCTCTGCCAGCCGGTAAGGTCAGCCATGTGGCGGATGGGGTGGGGGAGAGAGAGGACAATGCACTCTCATTGGCCTTCTTCCTTGGACTCTATGGGTGATGAAAGTGAGCGTTCACAGGCTCCATCATAGTGTTATCTGGATGTTGCTGTGTGTAGGATATGGCTTGAAAAACTAAAGTTGCATGCCAGAAAGTATGATAAAATGAGCTACAAATTTTGATTACAATATAGAATGGAACAATGGGAAAGGATGTGGCCAAAAATATTGAAATTTACATTATGTTCTAATGTTATAGATTTTTATAAATGATGTGCTGTTAGTGTAAATCAGCAGAAGAATTATCTAGAGTGTACAAAGGCACTTCAAATTTATGTTGGAAATGTGTGAATAACACACATTTTAGCAATATTACATGATTCCTTAGCACAACATCTTCATGCAGTGATTGGAGTTAGCTCTATTTCATAGAACCATAGAATTGGAAGGGACCTTGCAGATGTTCTAGTCCAACCCCTGTCCAAGGCTAGTCCTTAACCATCCTGGACAAGTGGTTGTCCAATCTTGTCTTGAAGACCTCCAGCAATGGAACTTCCACTCCTCCAGGAAGCAAGCTGCTCCATTGATAGATCCCACTGTCAGGAAATTCACCTCTATTTCCAGGTTGAATCTCCCTCGGATGAGCTTCCACCCATTGCTTTTAGTCCTGCCCTCAGGCGCTCCTTCCCCATGGCAGCCCTTTAAGTACTGGAAGACTGCTGTCTTATCTCCCTTTCATTAAGCTAAGCACGCCTAGTACCCTTAGCCATTCATCGTATGATTTTGCCTCCAGATCCCTGGTCATCTTTGTTGCTCTTCTCTGCACTCTTTCTAGAGCCTCAGCATCCTTTTCGTATCATGCTGAACAGAGCGGGGTGCAGGATTCCGAATGTGGCCTCACTAGTGTAGAGTATAGAGCGGTACTGTCACTTCATTGGTCTTCCTATTGATGCAGCTAGAACTGCACTGGCTTTTTTGGCAGCTGCAGCACATTGCTGACTCAGCAATCATCCATCAGGACACCTAGATCCCTCTTTCAGTTACTACTGTACTGTCAATCCAGATACATTTTGTACCTGTGCACCTGGTTTTTCCGCCTAAGTGCAGGACCGTACTTTTCTCACTGGTGAACTGCATCTTGTTAGGTAGGCCCCAATGCTCAAGTCTGCCAAGATCCTTCTGAATCTTGACTCTATCATCTAAAGTGTTGGCTATTTACACACACACACACACACACACACACACACACACACACCAGCTTGCTGTCGTCTGCAAATTTGAGGAGTTCTCTTTCTATACCCTCATCAAGACACTTATAAAGGCGTTGAAGAGTTCTGGGCCCAAGACCAAACTTTGAGGTGCCCCATTGCGGGTCTATGACAATTCACCATGGCCAACTTGCTGCAGACCAACTTGCCATTGCCATCTCGCCACAGGACAACTTGCTGTGGGACAAGAGTTACACTAATATCAAAGAAATGCTAGAATAGAATCAAAAGGAAGAATAAAACGTAAATGGCAAAAATTAAAATAATTTATTTTAAATAATCACATAGAATTGTTACATTGTCCCATGGCGAGTTGGCCTGGCAAGTTCTCACATCCCCCCCCAATACATACACCGTATAGATGCAGCTCCATTGAGACGAAATGGGGGAGGTTCAAAAATTATCCTCACGGTGCCTAGAAAACAACCTGCACCTGAACATCAGCAAGACAAAGGAGATGGTGTTAGACTTCTGGAAGAAGAGAGAGGAACCCACCCCACTTTACATCGAGGGGGGCTGTGAGAAGAGAGTTTCCTCCTTTAAATTCCTGGGAGTTTACCTCAGTGAAGATCTCACCTGGAAAACCAACACAACCCAGGTGGCCAGAAAGACCCAACAGAGACTCCATTTCCATAGGGTCTTGCAAAAGAATAAAGTGGATCAACGACTGATGACTACCTTTTCCCAGTCCACAATAGAAAGCGTCCTCACAATTGCATTACGGTGTGGTATGCTGGCTTGACAGTCATGGATAGAAAGACATTACAGAGGGTGGTGAACACAGCACAAAACATTGTGGGCTGTTCCCTGATACCACTAGATGACCTCGTTAGGGCTCACTGCCTTAGAAGAGTGGGGAAAATCCTCCAGGATGACCCACATCCCGGTCAGCCCTTCTTCACTCCTGCCATCCTGTATGAGATAGAGAAGCATAGCCAGACGCACCCACAAGCTGAAGAACAGTTTCTACCCGTGGGCTGTCAGACTCCTGGACGGAAAATAACTTAATGTCACCATAGTATGACTTGCGGGGCTGGCGTGTTGTGCAACAAGGTCACAAAGCATAATCAGACTGCAAAGCGTAATAAGACTGGGTTAGGGACTTCTGCCCTCACTGTGAGTTGTGTTGTGCTGATGTTACCTAGTTTGGATAATGAAATGTCTGCAAGAAAACAGCCAAGCTCAGAGAGCTCCAAAGGCCCCTCAAGTGCCATTCTGTCAGCTGATAGATTCTGCCCTTAAAGGTGTACGTGGCTTTTTTAAAGGCACATATAATTGGTCAGGTCAGCAAAGACACTTCAGAGAGCCTCACAAAAATGCAGGACATTGTGCAGAAGAAGTTGGACCTCTGAGCAGTTTCTGCTCCTTTTTATTCTGTACCCTTTGTTCTTGGATGTGCTGTTGGGTAGCTGCTTGTGTGGCCTTGTTTTTTCCAGGAAGAAGGTGAGGGCAGAAAGGCCACTGGCCCCTGGTCATTTCCTCTCTTTGCTTGCAGGACACTGCTTTTCCACCTGACCAGAGGCCATTTTGCATTGGGACTCGAGAGTTTCTGCCACCAGCTGGTGTTCTATGTCCACTATGCAGAGAATCTGGAAGTGGCCCAGAACATCCTGAAGGTGTGCCCTTATTGCTTACTGCAGGTGACTTCACAGGTCAGAGGGGGTGGGGGAGGCGGTTCTTTATGCCCAGCAGTCGTCCCCCCTCTCCTGCCTCCCCCCCTCTCCCCGCTCTGGTTTGTTCTTCCAGCTATCTGTTTTTGGCAGCCAAGGGCATCCTTGGGTTGTTCTTTTGGCCAAGATCTTGGTCTGGCGATGAGGTTGGGGATCTGTTCTCAGAACTTGCTGGCCAGCCACCCTGACTTGCTTCTCCCCTTTACTGGGCTGCATCTGCAGAAACTGATTAAGAAGAACAAAGCCTTTTCCCGCTTCAAGAAGCTTCAGGAATCCCGTCCAGAGCTTAAAGGTTGCCGGCTGGAAGAGCTGCTGCCTCTGCCCCTGCAAAGGCTCCATCAGTAAGTGGCAGAAGAGCCAAGTCTCCCTTCTCTGGCTGGGAAGCCAGACTGCACCTGCCACTCCTCCCTGAGCTCCCAAAAGAGGCTGCTGGGGGCCATGACCGAAAGGGCTTTGCCTCACTTCTCGCTTTGCAAAGTGGGGTGGAGGTGGAGTGTGTGTGTGTGTGTGTGTGTGTGTGTGTGTGGTGGCGCAGGCTGAGATCTCTGATGTGCAGCTGAGAGGCGATTGCTTAGATCTCCTTCACCTCTGATATCTGTTTGGTAGGTATAGGCACCTGCTGCAAGATTTGGTGGAGCAGACTCCCCCAGAGAGCTCTGGATTTGACCAACTTCAAGGTAAGATTCTAACTAAGCCCTGTAATACACTCCTGAATGTTTACCTTCAGCTGTTCAGCTCTTCATCACAACAGCAGAGACACCCTCCAATTCTTGCCTGATAGAACTTTGAAGGGGTGGCTTTCCCCCCAGCTACCCAGGCAGGGGAACCGGTGACGTTGCTCTTGGGTGATATGCTGTCACTTGCAGGGTCCCTGAGGTCTGTCTTGGAGGTCCTGCGCCGAGTCCAGGAAATTGCTCGTGTCCATGAGAACCTGTTGATGATGAGACGGATTCAGAAACAGCTCAAGGGGCGGAAGGCCCAAGTGCTGGCTCCAGGTGAGGCCTCTGTTTCGGTGGTCAAGCCCTCATTCTAGACCATCATGATGGGGCTATAACTAAACACAGGTCAGACATAGAATAAAACCAGCAATTAATGCTACAATGTAAGGATCAGGCTAGAAACCAGGAGACCATGAATTCTAGACCTTAGACGCAAAGCCAGCTGGGTATCCTTGGGCTGGTCCTTCTTTCTCAATCCTAGGAAGGAGAAGGTGGGCAAACCAATTCTGAACTTTTGCCAAGAAAGTTGCAGGGACTTCTCCAGGCAGTTGCCAGAAGTCAACACTGATTTGAAGGCACACACCCCAAAAAATCAGTATCTTTACCAACTGATAAAGAAGAAACATGCTAATCCTTTTTTTAAACTAACAAGTTGACTCAGTTGGGGGTGGGTGGTGGTATGGGGACTGTTTAAAGTACAGGCATACCAGGTGGGGAAACCTACCAGCCCAACCAGGCACGCAATCAACTGCACAAGCTTTTGACCTTCATAGGGCTTTCAAGTGACCGGTGCACCAGTGAACAAGGCATGTTGTTTCATAAATGTTTATCCAATGAAATGATGATTTAGAGAGGAGCAAAGTAAAGAGTGGCCTCACTCTGTGACTGTTGTAAAGCAGGTGGAGAAGCCCAGTTGAGCCAAGTTCATCTTCACCGACTCGCCCTAGGATCCCCCCCGCCCCCCCAATCAACAGGCGAAAGCTGTTACAGAGACACCTTTGAAAGCAGAGCTAGACCTACGTGCTGCCACTGGTGGGGATAACCGCTCTGGATTTCGAGCTCTCACCAGAGTGTGGGGGGCTCCCCGGTTCAGTTCAGGGGGTTGGGAAACTGCTACCTGCTCTTAGTTAATGTGCCAGTTGCAATATTACCTGGCAAACATAGATGGGGGCTGGGAAATCCAATGAGTACAAAATGCTATTTCGGATTAGTGGATAAATTTAGTAGCAATAAGGTGCTGGCTTGGACTTTCAGAAACAGAAAGACTTGATACATGCAGCTCTTAAGGGTTCTTTTTCCCACCCTTCTCTCCTCGCAGCTGAGGAGTCTAAAGTAAATCTCTTTGACATGTTAGGAATCCAGCTATCACTTGGAAATGCTCCCTCAGAGTATTTTTTGAAGTCAGCAGCTCAGTTTTGGAATTGTGTGTCCTTGGCTTGCCTCAGCGATCATTGCCGTTAATCCCTCTGCCTTTCCCAGAGAAACCACTCCTGGAGTCCCGGATGGGCCTCAGATGGTTTCAGAGCTTGCTTAATAAGTTCTTGGGTTTCTGTTCTTTTTCCATGCAGGGCGCTGGTATCTCCAGGAAGGTTGGCTGATGGAGGTCCCCTCCAAGGGGAAGGAGATGCAGCGCAGGAGGTGTTTCCTTTTCTCTGATATCTTGTTGTTAACCAAGCCTTGCCACCCACTCCATCCTTGGAAGTCACACAAGTTTGCTTGCCAGGCCATTTACCCTCTCAGTCACTGTGTTGTGGAGAAGGTCTTTGGTCACACCCAGAGCCAAGGAGGGCTGCTCAGTGTAAGTGCTCTCCCCCCCCCCCACCCCCCGCCCAGGTTCTGCCAACGGGCTGGCTCCTCTCCCTTGAAACCCATGGCTGGGTAATATGGGAGGCACGACTATGGCTAATGCCAAGAAGGGGCAGCAGGCATCGATGACTCTGGAGCCAGGGTCTTTGGAGTGGATGAGCTGGAAACTCTTTTCTTTTGGCCACGCAGCGTTTCCTGTCCTTCTTTCTCTCTTTTCAGCTCTCTTTCCCACAAAAAAAACTACTATTAATGTCTTGCGATCAGGACGATTTTGCCAAATGGCACCAGAATCTGGTGGTGGCTATCAGGTAGGCTACATCCCTCCTACTTTTTCTCTAAAGTGCTCAGAATAATATTTAAGGAATCATTTATCACAACCCAGCAGGGGTTAATTAGGCTGAGGCAGCGACCGCATTTTAAGTGTAACAGTGCAGCTATATGTGAGTCCGGGGCTTCCCTGGTCAACTCTTCCACTACAGCCACTGACTCAATTTCTGCCCATAATGGTCTCTGGCTGAGCAGACCCAGAGACAGTGCTTTGGTTCAAAGGAAGGCATGAGAGGTAGCCCTCAACTTAACAGCCTTTCATTCTGTTCAAAGTTACAATGGTGCTGAATAGACTTACTGAAGTTTCAGCTGATGCAGACCCTCATCACGGTCATGTGATATTGGGACCTGGGCATTTGGCATCCCGTTTACATTTACAGCCAATTGCCAAACCCCCTGCGATCATGTGATCATCATTTGCAGTGTTTCTTGCTGGCTTTGCCACAAAATCAGTGGAGAGGCTGGCAGGGAAGCTTGCAAGTTGCAGCCGATTGCCAGAGGACTCCCTCTGATCTCTGGCTGAAAAAGATCCATGCCAAAATCTGTGCAGCATGTTCAGCTTCGAAGGCTGAGGCCTTGCACACCCTCCCCACATCTCTTGCTCCCTCCTCCACTTGGCAGCGTTTGGGACTTGCACCTTCCTGCTGGCTTCCCCAGTGACTTGATTGTGGAAGCTGGCAGGAAGTTGCCTCACTAATAATTGCATCTGGGACTGCCTAGATTGTCATCGCAAAGCAAAGTAAGTGCACTCTATGACTTAGGGACGGAATTTCTGGTCTCAGTGATGGCCGTGGAAAGATTGTTTCTCTCTTTGTTACAGAGAGCTTCAAGTCTGTGGCAGCCCACCTGCTCAGAAGGCTGAGTGAGCCAGCTGGACTCTGCAGGAAACAGCCTGATGCAATCTGCCACCCTCCTTTGGACACCCAACTCCAGGCATAACCCTAACAGGGCTCTGTCCTCGGTTTGGTTCCCTGTTCCTTCCGTCCAGAGAAGCAGAATGCTCAGAGGCTGCTGCCCCCCTCCAGAACAGCCACACCCCTTGAGCCTAGAGACCGGGAGCCCCCTGGCCATGGGGTAGCCTCCTCAGCAACTCTCATATGGCACCACAGGATGGATTCTACGCAAACTATTTTTCATATCCACAGATCTTGCACAATGGGATATGTGAAAATCTTGTTTTCTTTTAATGGCTATGAATGGTGGTAGTTTTTCCTTGTGAATTCTATTGTGAGATTAGTTTTGCCTGCCGAGACAGGAAAGCTTTTGGGCTGCAAGTCGGGTTTTAAAAACACGGGGAGGTCCTTGAGACTGCATGCGTGGGAGCCACTCTATAATCCAATGCCACCAGTACAACCAGGGCAGGCAAACTGCTGCTTTAGGCATTTTCAAATTCTGCAGCATGACTTCTATGCAGCCAGAGCCCCGAATGTAGACATGTCATCCTATTCTCAACAGATATTAATAACACTGATCAATTTTGAATCTTTGTTGCTAATAGTGGAATGTGAGTGGGGAGATCTTCCCGTTCCTCAAATTTCAGATAATGGATTCTATTTTTTAGGAAAAGAGCAGTTTGTGGTGGCTTTTTAACAACTTCATTACAATTTATCATAGCAAAACAATTTCTACAATAAGTTCGCCAACTGCACCTAAAATGAGTGGATGCAAATCATGTAACACTTATTTTTCAAATGCATCTTATTCTGCAACGTGTAGGTTGGGACTGCCTGCAGCAATACCAAAAACTGCTGGAGGATAGGTAGGGAAAACAATTCTATGACTGTCCAAGGAATAAAAGTTTTCTGAATATATTTTTACTCTAAAATGTTGCAGTATGGAAAATTATGCTTTCCTATATGGATACTTGCTTTAAGAAATGCTAGAGATGACTTAAAGACAGTCTAATAATATAATCATTTGTAGGTTACTGTACTTAAGAAGAAAGAGATAATATGAGGAAATAGAGTTTATCCTGCTTTGAGGTAATGTATCCTAAATTCTATTGAAGAGGTCACTTGCCTTAAGACCATCCAGGCACCATTCCAGCCACTGTCTCTTTGCCAAGCTGCTTAAGCCAGAGTCTGACCATTCCAAAAATGAAAAGTAATTAGTAAGAACAAAGGTTCCGTCCACTGCTTTGCCAAACATGAGCATGGGCATAGAATTCCACTCTTGTTATCAAAGCCTATGCTGCTTCTAGTAATATGCTTTTAAAAATCACACCACAAAAAATTAGATATTCCATACATTAAATATTTCATGTTTTTCCCACAGAATATTGTTTTGTATGGCTTCCAGCCTCACCTAAGTGACTCTAGGTAGCCATATAAACTAAACATATGAACAAATATAAAAATGTTATATTAATTTTAAGGAAAATTGGATGGGGAACAACTGAAAATATTTAATATATTTGAAACACACAATACAGCAGATTAAGTGCAGTGAAAGGGATCCTCAAGGATGTTATGGAGATTGTAGACAAATTTAATTCTTTGCACTGATTTTTCTTCAAAACTGACTTTAGCAGAGAGGTGACAAAGTACCAAAGGTATGAATTACCAAGTTTGATGGCATCCAAGAAAAATTGTTTAATAAGAAACAAATAACCTAGGAAAAATTCACAGCTTGTTCTTCAAACAGTATCAGAGGATCTGGTAAGGGTAACCAATGTGACATGACTCTCAAAAACCCTTTGACCAAGTCCTCATCAAAGGCTCTTCTAAACTTCATGATAGTGAGATAAGATGACCAGTCCTTCTGATTGTAAAACACTGAAGTGATTATGAAGAGCTTGAGTAGGACCTCCTTAAAAGGTGGCAAAAGGCAGCCTGCACACAGCATTCATTGCCACACGTGAAACCCCACTCCACCCCAAACACACCTGAACTGCGCCTGTATTAAAGCAGGGCTGTCAAACTCCCAGCCTGTGGGCTAAAGGCATCACAAGCTAGCTAGGCCCATACCTTGTTTAGCAAAGCGGGAAAAAGTCCCGATTCATCATGTGACACTGCAAGTTTGACACCCCTGTATTAAAGCATTCACAACTGGCTGAATTGACCCTGAATGGCACCAGGAGGAAAATCAGGAATCAATGGCCCAATAAACTGAATTGCTTATATTCCCTGGCCATAGCAGGAAAATAAAATCATCCAGGTGGGTTTATCAAAATCATTCCAACATCAATTATATTTAGTGTCTGCCTTTGGCTTACCTTTGTAACATAGCATACCAAAAGATATATACTGTGACTCTGCTTTTTGTCACGACTGCTCAGCAAGCTTAGAGCTGAGTGTAGCTATTTGTTTGCTTAATAAACACCTTGTATCTTCCAAGTTATTTGTTTTTTTAGGAGAGCCAGGCTTTGGTCACAATAGTACTTAACCAAGAGGCAAATAACTTAATTGAAATATGTGATGCACACAGGAGAAAGGAACCCTCCACAAAGACACCAATATTGGAAGAAATATCCATCTGGTTCAGTTCCAAGCTAGGAGAAAGGCACTGGAGTGTGGTAATATATTTTATTCTGTGGGTCCTTGTATAGCTTTGCATAGATCTAGGGACTAAAAAATGCCTCTGGTGGGGGGGGCATTTCCGCCTGCTATGGGTGTTTTTGTCCTGTTAGGACCTGCGAAGCTTAGAGGACCAGATATGTCGGTGAAAGGTCATAGTATATAGCTGAGCCATTCCCATGGGAATTTCCGCAGATGTATATTCTCATCCTGTTTGTTCTCATCCTATATATCCTGTGGAAATAACATCCTGTTGAGGTCACTTGTTTTCTGTATATGCATTTTGTTCTCAATAAAAGCTGGTACCTGGGTCTACTCAGGGCTGGCATCTGCTCAGACGTTTTCCCTGCGTCTCATTTCAAATGTCAGTCCACCACACTGGAGACAAAATGAAGGCTGGAGGCTGATTGAAAAGGGGGTCTACTTATTGATGAAGCACAACCACGAAGCACATGTTATTCTGAGCACCTGACCACACGCAGTACAGAGTGAGGGGGTTTTATACCTTCTCTTGGGCTTTGCACTGGAATTTCCTTTTCCTGTGCAAGAACATGTATTCTATTGCCTTCTATGTATAAATCCCAGGAGTTTGTCTGAGCTAAACTTGGTTGAAGTTTGGCTGATGCAATGAAGGGGCTTGTCGGCCAATTCCTATTGTGTCCAAGGGCTAATCCTACCTTTGTTCAGACCCTGCTGCAGGGAACTGCTACCTATCTCTTTATCTCTTAAGTGCTGTGGGCTATTTAAGGATGGTGGGGCCTGCTTTCCAAGAGCATGTTTCTACATTACCCATCCAGGGAAATATATCTGCCTTTTTAATATTTCTCAAAATATTTCATTCCTCTAGGAGAGGGGTGGGTGCTAACTTCCTACAATAGTGAAGGAAAAAAATCTGGTTCTCACAATGGATACCGGTATAATGGAGCTGTGGCATGTGTGTAGAACCACTGTTCGGAGCAAAGACTTCCACCCGGGGCCTCTCCAGGCTCAGTTGCTGGGAGAGAAGCAATGCCTCCTCTTCCTCTCCTCTCCCCCACTCCCGCCCGAGACAACAAGCAGGACGCCCCGAGAGAGGCCTTTATTCACCGGGGTTGGGTGGGTGGAGGAGGCGGCGGCTCTCGGGCCTCCGTCACACGGACGTGCCCCGCTCCTCCCGGTAGCCCTTCAGCAGCTGGTTGACCAGCGTCTTCTCGCCGTCCCGGCGGGGCAGCGGCAGCGGCGGCAGCGGGTTGCCCTTGTACTCGATCACCGCCCTCTCGGCCCGGTCCAGGTTTTCGTTCTTGGGGATCCGCACCATCCGCGTGTAGCCGCCCTGGTGGGGAGCGAAGCGGGGCGCCAGCACTTGGAAGAGCTTGTGTATCAGGTCCTTCTCCTGCAAGGCGACGGCAGCAGCGGTCAGTCCCGCGCCTTCGCCCGCGACCCCCCCGCCCCCGGATCACCCCCCGCCCGCCCCGCCCCGCCGCTCACCGTCAGCCAGAAGTCGGCCAGGCGCATGGCCTGCGGGTCCGCGTCGCCGCGCTTGGCGTGTTCGATCAACTGCGGGGCAAAAACGACACCGGAGGGGGGCAGGTGAGGGGAGGGGTGGTGGTCCTCGGTCCCCGGGACGCCTCCCGCCGGTCTCCCCCCCCCCCACTCACGTGCTCGGCGTAGAAGCGCATCTCGTCGGCGCGGACGCGCGTGGTCTCGATCCTCTCGTGGCGCACCAGTTTCGTCACGAGATTCCGCAGCAGGTCGAGGCGCGAGCGCGGCCCGAGCCCGATCCGCCGCCGCAGCCGCCCGTGGGAGATGCCGAGCGCAGCCGTCAACCTCATGGCCGGATCGCCGCCGGAAGCCGCCGCGGGCAGGGCGGAAGGGCCGCTTGAGGGGCGGGGCGACGGCGCGGTAGCCGAGCAACCGGGGGAGGGGGAGGGGCGATCGGCCTTTGAAAGGGCCCGTCCCGCCTTCTCCGCCTCGCCTGCCCCTCCGAGGGGACCTCCGGGGTGGGGGCGGGGAGCGGGATGGCTGCCGGCAAGAATGGGAGCGGGGCCAGCGGGGGCTTCTCTTGCCGTCCCGCCCGGAGCTGTTTCGGGACGCCGCTCTGACCGAGGACAGCTTGGCCGGAGCCTCCGGGGAGGTCTTAAACCCGCCTCGCATCAGCCTCTGAATGCTCAAATCGGCCCGGTCCATTCTGAACGTAGCCTCCGTTTCCCTTCGGAGGAACGCGCCGCTTCTGCTACTAAAATCTACAGAAATCTCAATAACCCATTTTTTGTTTTAGAATAAGGAGAAATTCTGTCACCATTTCATGCAGAAATTAAATTTGAAAGCAGTAACAATGATTTTGGAGACGAGTGAAAGGTTTATCTCCCCTTATTGTATTGTTTAAAAATGTATTTGAAAGTTGGTAGAAGTATCAAAATAACATAAAATGTTTATTTTAAAATGTAAGCTGCTCACATTTCACTGCTGGTACCTGCTGAATATTGGTGTTTCAGATATATAGATATATTAAATTGGGAGCTGTTCATAAAGGTCAGGCACTCACACCGATAAGTGATGGGGCTGAGCATTTGGCCTTCTTTAACCTATCAGAATCATGTCTGTTTAAGTATCTTCATAGTCTGTTGAAAACAAAGTGTTGTTAGTTGCGAAGTCGTGTGACCCATCGCGACTTCATGGACAAAGTTCCTTCAGGCCTTCCTGTCCTCTGCCATCCTCCAGAGTCCATTTAAGCTCACGCCTACTGCTTCAGTGACTCCATCCAGCCCCCTCATTCTCTGCCGTCCCGTTCTTCTTTTGCCCTCAATCGTCCCTAGCATTCAGCTCTCCTCCAGTGAGTCCTTCCTTCTCATGAGGTGGCCAAAGTCTTTGAGTTTCCTCTTTGGGTTCTGGCCTTCTAAAGAGCAGTCAGGGTTGATCTCCTCTAGGACTGACCGCTTGGATTGCCTTGCAGTCCAAGGGACTCGCAGGAGTCTTCTCCAGCACCACAGTTCAAAGGCCTCCATTCTTTGGCTCTCAGCCTTTCTTATGGTCCAACTTTCACAGCCATATATTGCAGCTGGGAAAACCGAAGCCTTAACTATATACTCATTTTTGTTGGCAGGGTGATATCTCTGCATTTTAGTATGCTGTCAGATTTGCCATAGCTTTCCTCCCCAGAAGCAAGCCTCTTTTAATTTCTTGGCTGCAGTTCCCATCTGCGGTGATCTTGGAGACTAGGAGAATAAAATCTGTCACTACCTCCATTTCTTATCTATTTGCCAGGAATTGAGAGGGCCGGATGCCATGATCTTAGTTTTCTTAATGTTGAGTTTCAAGCCAACTTTTGTACTCTCCTCCTTCACCTGAATCAAGAGGCCCTTTAGTTCCTCTTCACTTTCTGCCATTAGAGTGGTATCATCTGCATATCTGAGGTTGTTGATATCTCTCCCGGCAATTTTAATTCCTCATGATGTGCTCTGCATATAAGTTAAATAGATGGGGCAACAATGTACAGCCTTGCTGGACTCCTTTCTCAATGTTGAACCGATCAGTGATTCCGTTTCCAGTTCTCACTGTTGCTTCTTGACTTGCATATAGCTTTCTCAAGACACAAATAAGATGGTTTGGTACTCCCACCTCTTTAAGGATTTGGCACAATTTGTTGTGATCCACACAATCAAAGGCTTTAGCATAGTCAATGAAGCAGAAGTAGATGTTTTTCTGGAACTCCCTAGCTTCCTCCATGATCCATCCTATGTTGGCAATTCCTCTTCCTTTTCGAAACCTGCCTGTACTTCGGGTAGTTCTCGATCCACATACTGCTGGAGTCTAGCTTGTAGGATTTTAAGCCTAACTTTACTAGCATGTGAAATGAGTGCAATGGTGTGATAATTTGAACATTCTTTGGCATTGCCTTTCTTTGGAATTGGAATGTAAACTGACTTTTTCCAATCCTGTGGCCACTTGATTTTCCAAATTTGCTGGCAAATTGAGTGTAGCCCTTTTATTGCATCATCTTTTAAGATTTTGAATAACTCAGCTGCTTTGCTGTTGTTCAGATTTCTTAATGCCCATTTCACTTCACATTCTAGGATGTCTGGCTCGAGGTCAGTGACCACCCCATCATGGTTATCAGGGACATTAACCTTGTTCTTGTATAGTTCTTCTGTGTAATTTTGCCACCTCTTCTTAATCTCTTCTGCCTCTGTTAGGTCCCTGCCATTTTGGTCCTTTATCATGCCCAGCTTTGCATGAAACGTTCCCTTCATATCTCCAATTTTCTTGAAGAGATCTCTGGTCCTCCCTATTCTATTGTTTTCTTCTACTTCTTTGCATTGTTCATTTAAGAAAGCATTCTTATCTCTTCAAGCTATTCTCTGGAATTCTGCATTCATTTGGGCTGGTTTTAGTTGCTACCTCTTGTATAATGTTGCAAACCTCCGTCCATAGTTCTTCGGGCACTCTGTCTATCAGATCTAATTCCTTAAATCTATTTGTCACCTCTACTGTATATTCCTCAAGGATATGATTTAGTTCATACCTGTGTGGCCTATGCTTTTCCCTACTTTCTTCAATTGAAGCCTAAATTTTGCAATGAGCAGCTCATGATCTGAGTCACCGTCAGCCCCTGGTCTTGTTTTTACTGATTGTGGAGAGCTTCTCTATCTTTGGCACACAATCAATCTGATTTCTGTGTTGATCGTCTGGTGGTGCCAAAGTGTAGAGCCATCTCTTGGGTTGTTGGAAAAGAGTGTTTGCTATGACCATCATATTATCTTGACAAAATTCTATTAGCCTGTGCCCTGCTTCATTTTGTACTCCAAGGCCAAACTTATTCCAGTTATCTTACTTTAGCATTCCAACCCCCCATGATGATAAGGGCATCATTTTTTGGTGTTAATTCTATAAGGTGCTGTAGGGCTTCAGAGAACGGGTCAAGTTTATCCTCTTCAGCACCAGTGGCTGGGGCATAGACTTGGACTACTGTGATATTGGTTTGCCTTAGATTCAAACTGACATCATTCTGTCATTTTGGGGATTGTATCCCAGTATTGTTTTTCCTACTCCTTTATTGACTATGAAGGCTACTCCATTTCTTCTGAGGGATTCTCTCCCGCAGTAGTATACCTGATGGTCATCTGAATTAAATTCACCCATTAGTTCACCGATTCCTAAGATGTCAATGTTCAGTCTGGTCATCTTGTTTGACCACGTCCAGCTTGCCTTGATTCACAGATCTCACATAGGAGATCTTTACAGCATCAGACTTTCCTTTCATCACCAGGTGCATCCGTAGCTGAGCGTCCTTTCGGCTTTGGCCCAGTCGCTTCACTCTTTCTGCACTACTAGTACTAGTCCTCTGCTCTTCCCCAGTAGCATATTGGACACCTTCCAGCCTGAGGGGCTCATCGTCCAGCACCGTATCTTTTTGCCTTTTGGTACTGTCCATGGGGTTTTCATGGCAAAGATACTGAAGTGGGTTGCCATTTCCTTCTCCAGTGGATCACATTTTGTCAAAACTCTCTGTTGTGACCTGTCTGTCTTGGGCAGCCCTACACGGCATAGCTCATAGCTTCATTGAGTTACACAAGCCCCTGCACCATGACAAGGCAGTAATCCACAAAGGGGAGAACAAAGTATAACATTTGTTTAAATCACTGCCTCAGGCTTATTTACTAACCATAGTGTATTAATGCAGTAAGCATTGTTCAGTTTAGGAAGTGTGATGTTCAAATGTGGTTGAGATGCTCATTTTATGTAGTAATTAATACAGCTTCTTTTAGAATACCCGCATACATCCCTACTCTTGCCATTTAGTCTCTAATCCTGGTGAATTAATAGATTTCAAAAAGATTTATTTCTCAATCTCCTTCTTTAGTACCTTAATGGTTTTTATGTTGACATTTGCTTAAATACTCTTTCTAGTATTAAAAATGTTCTTCAACTTCATGTTCATCCCACCTAGAAGTCCAATTATCTCAGTTTGTCTGAGTGAATATTCTTAACCATGTGCAAATGTGTGACTTGTTTCTCAAAGGGTATATGTAAAACCTTGGAGTTTCAGAAATATTTCCTTCAATGATACTGTTTACTTGAAATGTCTTTCATATACAATAATGTAATATAATAATGATTATATTGCCAAATTGCAGTTCACCTGTAGATGTTCTCTGGGTATCCCCAATCAGCGGGAGATGTTTAGCCAATTGAAATAGACTTCTCAAGAGTAGGAAGCACATAGATCTCAGAGAGGATGTAACTGAGGGAAGGAGATTCCCTTGGTTGCAGCAAGGGTTGGCCTCCTTTGGCCCTCGGCCGACGGGCCCTCAGTGGGAATGTTGCAATGTGAAGGCACACCTCTTGTAGGCAGCGTAGAGCAGGAGCATGGCACGCAGCATTTGACGGCATATAGCCATGGCCATGCGCACTTGGGGCTCCCGGAGCCCTCGGGGCCAGCGCTGGTGGGCGCTTACGACTTGACGGAAGGCTGAATGCTCGGATACCCTGAGGGAGCCACTCCAGCGTGGGGGCTGTACTGTCACAAGTTGTCCAAATACCGAATCAATCCCTGTGAGACGCACGGCCTGGGGTTTCCGCACAGACGCACTATGTCCTCTTGTCTCCCCAGCTGCTCCCAGGGGCTGCGGTTGCCCTGCTCCCATCTTCGCACGAGACTCCAGGACCAGGCTCAGGCCCTGGAAACAAAGCTGCACTTCTAAATCTGCAGCAGCCGGGCTCCGCCTTCCTCGAAAGAGAGGCTTGGAAGCCCCCGGCCTGGGGAAGGTGCCCCTCAGCCATTGCAGAGATTCATCTAGTGGAGACCAAGGTGCCCACAGCTGGTAACCCCCATCCATGGTCAAGGCCACGGAGTAACCCTT